TAGTGACATAAAATGAAATAGAAGACTACGGGCTCTATAAAGTTCAGATCACATCTTGTCTGACCTTGTGCATGGTACTTCACTCTTATCCTCAGCATTCCCATCTCACCATGGGAGTAGTTGGAACCTCTCTTATAGGGCACGGTGAGAGCTTGGCATAGTATGCATTCGGTGCATGGTTTCTGATGGCGAGTCTTGTTAGGAGCTGTCTTCTGGGCTAGACACCAGCATCCCGGTCAGATGGTTAAGCAGTGCAGGGGGTCAAAAGCTCTGGCTTATTCTAATAAATGACATCTGTAGCTATTAATAGTTATCTTTATATTGAGAGAATATTTGTCATTCTGTAATTTCTATTCTACTTGTTAACTCTGTTCTGTTGAGCCACTGAAACAAGACTATTCTACATGGCAGTCATTCAGATATTTGAAAATAGTGACCTTGCCCATTCTGAACTTTTTCTTGTTTTAGTCCCGAAGATTAACTTAAACATTGGAAACCAGTAAAAAAAAGTTTTTTAAAAACAGAAAAGAGGGCGGGTTTGTGGCTCAGTGGTAGAGCGCTTGCTTGCCTAGCACATGAGTTCGATCCTTAGCACCACATAAAAAATATATTGTGTTTATCTACAGTTAAAAAATAAATTTTTTTTAAAAGTTAAAAAATAAAATAAAGGAAAAAGGCCTATATATGGGGCTGCACTTTAGTGAAGTGAGGAGTGCGTCTGTGGTGAGTCCTCGTGGGGAGGGATGCCTCTGAAATTAAGGTTGATGCTTTCTCGGATGGATTGAGAGTCTGGACTGGGCATCGTGTGTGCACGTCACTATTAGTAAGAAATCTGCTCCAAGCCTCTTGTTCTTCTCCTGCTCTGGTCTCGGGCCCCTTGGCACACTGCCCTGCTCTGTCCGGCATCCTGGTTCTCACCTGTGTGCCTGCCCTGTACACACTTGAGCCTTCATGGTATTCACGTTCTACTCACAGTTTTGTTTTGTTTTTGTTTTAATTGATGTCTAATTAGTAGTTGTGATATATTATACTAGCCAAGCTAATGATACCTTTCCTAAATTATGTTGTAGTGTTGAATGTGACAGTAGCAGAATTGCTATTTTAAAATGAGATTTTATAAAATAAACAAATACCCAGATTACAGGAAATACTAAGTTGATGATTAATGCAATGGGGCTGCTGCTCTTGTGCTTTTAAATGCTTGCATTTTTGTGAGATCCATCTACTGAGATGTCAGCAGGCCCACACCTCTGATCATTGCCAGATAGCTAATTTGCTGTTTGTCTTCTGCCTTCTGATGCTGAAGTAGGTGGCTTTAGGAGAACTTGCAGAGGGATTCCTGTCCATGTGAAGGGTCCAGGTTGCCCAAAGACGTGAGTGGCCCAAGACTGTCAGATCTGTAGTGCAGGGAGTGCCCCTCCACTGGGATTTGGGAATGGTGACATTGCTATACCATCAGAGACATTTTAAGCTCCTGCCATTTGTGCCCTTTTTTTCCTGTCCCCCAAATGAGGGAGGGTTGATATTCAGGGAAAGGGAAGAGAACTTAGAACATAGTTTTTGTTTGTTTTCAGATGCAGGAGTGAAAACTTCAGGCTACTGATGGGGCTGGCCCAGAATGTGGTAATTCTGTGTAAACCTAAGATGTGAAATGGGGAGGAAGTTTAAATGTGTCTGCGGTAGTTTTAAAAAGCCACTGAGGAAATAGTCTATGGTAAAATAACAGGTTCAAGGGATGGGAAATGGGGTCCTTCTGACAGTAGGAAACATACTGTCTCAAAAGCCATGCAGAATGCTCAGGGCCCCTGGGCTTTTTTGCTCAAGTATGGTACTTTTGGGGAGACTATGGCCTAGACCCTAGCCTGATGGGGTGTAGTGAGGCAGCATGCGCCTCAGCCAGTTGGCTTCTGGAGTAGTGCAAAGACAGGAGTGTGGCAGAAGCCCTGGTCTCTGTCAGCCTCCCTGGGGGCCAGGATTTCACCCTTCTTTCTGAACTTGGGCTGTTCTCAGCTGTATTCTCTCCCCAGCCAGTATCTCCTCTCAGGAGGTGTGGAGGACTAAGTGGCCTCATGATACATGAGTAAACAAGCGAATGGCGGGTGCAGGAGTGTTTTGCTCAGCACACAGCACAGCACAGGCCCTGCTCAGGTTGGGAGAACACAGCCACAGCTGCACTCACACGGCAGAGTGTCCTTGGAGCTCGTCCATCAGCCCCCTTTTCTCTGAGGTGAAAGGCCTGTCTGCACTTAGCAGTGTTAAAGCCAGAATAGCTTCTGCACCAGTGCCCTCCAGAGGTCACCTGCTGCCAGTCTGGAACCCAGACTTTTATCTTACCTGATGGCAATCATTATAGTGGCAACTGACATCGAGACACTGGGCCCTCAGGAGCCTGATTGACTTCAGGACCTGGTCCTCCCATCGGTGCCCTTTCAGCAAGCCAGCATGATCTTCACAAGGGACCTAGAGTTTCTTCCTTGTTTTTCACAGTGATGTTGCTCTTCTTTAGATTTGTGACCTTAATATGAACAGCAGACTTTACTTCCCTGGACACGGAGAATGGACACAGTAGAGAATGCTCGGAATCCACTCCAGGCTGAACAGTGTGTCCTCTGGGGGCAGAGTGGGGTTAGGGATGAATCTTTCACTTAATATTTTTATATTCAGTGTCATTTAAGTAATTGATTTTTACTATTGACTTTTTCCTTACAGCGTGTACCAGATCAGTTATACAGAATTAAAACATTAAAATATATATATATATATGAAGGAAAAAAACAGACTGCCTGGTATAAGAATAGGCAAAGCCATTCTAAGTGGAAAACACCATCAAAAAATGACTAATTTGGGCTGGGGTTTTGGCTCAGTGGCAGAGTGCTCGCCTAATGTGTGAGGCCCTGGGTTCGATCCTCAGCACCACATAAAAATAAAATAAAGGTATTGTGTCCAACTACAACTCAGAAATAAAATTAAAAAAAAAAAAAAGACTAATTTTGGCCAGGCGCAGTGTGCATGCCTGTAATCCCAGCAGCTCAGGAGGCAGAGGCAAGAAGATTACAAGTTCAAAGCCAGTCTCAGCAATTTAGTGAGGCGCTAAGCAACTCAGTGAGATCCTGTCTCTAAATAAAATTTAAAATAGGGCTGAGAATGTGGCTCAGTAGTTGAGTGCCCCAGGGTTCAATCCCTAGTACCCAACCCCCTCAAAAAAGACTAATCTTAAAAACTTAAATTTTTTTTTAATTATATACTTCTTAAAATTTAACAAAATTAGAGCCAGGCATAGAAGCACATACCTGTAATCCCAGCAACTCAGGAGTTCAAGTTCAAGTTCAATCTCATCAATTTAGCAAGACTCTGTCTCAAAATAAAAAGGGCCAGCTCTCGGGCTGGAGTTGAGAGTCAGAGGTAGAGTACTCGCCTAGCACGTGGGAGGCCCTGGGTTGAATCCTTAGTACCACATATAAATAAAATAAAGATACTATGTTCAACTACATCTAAAAAACAAATATTAAAAAAAAAGTTGGGGTTGGGCTGGGGATGTGGCTCACGCTATATAACATGCTCGCCTGGCATGCACGGGGCGCTGAGTTCGATTCTCAGCACCACATAAAAATAAAGATGTTGTGTCCACTGAAAACTGAAAAATAAATATTAAAAAATTCTCTCTCTTCTCTCTATTTAAAAAAAAAAAAGTGGGGGCAGCTCTGACTCAGTGTCAGGGCATCCCTGGGTTCAATCCCCAGAACCCAAATAACAATAATTTAAAAAAAAAAAAAACAATTACTTGGTATTCAAAGAGTTTTTGCTTGTACAAAATAAGAAGCATTTCATTAGGAAAATTAACAAGAACATAAATAGCAAATTCACATAGTAAGGAATATATCTTTCCAAGATTCTATAATCTTACACATCGAGAAACAATTGTGGGGGCCATGAGTGTAGCTTATACTTCAGCATTTTCAGAATCATGTTATATGGCATTCTTTTTGTTTTGTGTTTTGTTTTTGCATTGTTAAGGTTCAAATCCAGGGCCTTGAGCATGCTAGGCAGGTGCCCTACCACTGAGCCATACTCCCAGCCCCTAAGGATCCTGTTGTAAAAGTATAACATTTATTGATAAAAGTAAGTTCACAGACAGGGTGCAGTGTCACACACCTGTAATCCCAACTACTCAGGAGGCTGAGGCAGGAAGATTGAAAGTTTGAGGCCAGCCTTGAGCAATTGAGTGAGACCTTTAGTAACATAGCAAGATGCCATCTCAAAATAAAAACTTAGAAGGGCTGGGGAGATAACTGAACAGTGAGTAGCACACCCCTGGGTTCAATTCTCAGTATTGAAAAAATAAAAGTTCACAGTATACTTTGTAAGTGAAAACAGTGGATTAAAATATAGTATTATATTCATTTTTAAAAATGAAAAATTCAAGACTATACATCAAAATAAAAATTGCCTTCAGCCACTTCTGTTATTTTAAATATACTTCTATTTTTACCAAAAAAACAAATATTTTACTTAATGAATTGATTGAAGTATTGGGGATTGAACCCAGGGGCTGTTTACCACAGAGCTCTATCCCAGCTTTTTTTTTTTTTTTTTTTTTTTTTTTTTTTTTTTTCCTTTTTCTTATTTTGAGACAGAGTCTCACTAAGTTGGCCAGGCTGTTCTTAACTTGTGATCTTCCTGTTCAGCCTCCAAGTGTCTGAAATTACAGGTGTGCACCACTGCTGCTAGCCAAGTATTTTAAATTTTTTAACTGAAAAAAAAAAAATGTGGGGCACGTGGGTTGAAGCATGTAGAAAAATCAAATGAGGGCTGGGGATATAGCTCAGTTGGTAGAGTGCTTGCCTCACATGCACAAGGCCCTGGGTTCAATCCCTAGCACCACAAAAAAAAAAAAAAAAAAAAAAGAAAGAAGAGAAAAGAAGAATCAAATGAAAAAAAACATGCTTCACCCTGTTCCTCCTGACATGCTCGTAGACCCCTGTTCGTTCATGTCTCCTCAGGTCTGAGCACTGAAGGCATCTACCGGGTCAGTGGGAACAAGTCAGAGATGGAGAGTCTGCAGAGACAGTTTGATCAAGGTAAGTCACAGCTGGACTGCCAGTGGGGCCTAGGCCTCCAGACACTCCTGCCACCCATCTACCCCAAAGCCAGCCAAGAAGTGCTGGCTCAGGGACCGAGAAAAAGATCCCATGGGGACCAGACCTGTCAGCAAACCAAAGCACACCCCTGCCCAGCTGAGCCAGACTAGCCATCCTCATCACCATCCACAGACACTGTTCAGGTTGCTCGTTTCTCCTGAAGAGAGAGCCTTGCCTCCCTTGGCTGGGCAGGGTGATCACAGCAGGTGGAGATGAGGCTGTGAGCCTCAACCACAGCTGCCTTCACAAAGGCCCTGTGTGAGAGAATACAGAGATGTTTTAGGATGAGCTGAACCTTAGGCCCAGACTCCCACAGTAGAACTCTCAAGAGTCATACTAGCTCTTTGCGAGACCTGGGACACACTAGTGCAGTCATCCATTGCTTCTGAAAAATGCATCCTTAGCTCGGGAGGTGGATGCAAGAGGATTGCGAGTTCACAGCCAGCCCCAGCAATTTATTGAGGTAATAAGCAACTCAGTGAGACCCTGTCTCTAATAAAATATAAAATAGAGCTAGGGATGTGACTCAGTGGTGAATGCCCCTTATTCAATCCCTGATACCCCTACCCAAAAAATTTTAAAAAAAAAGCATCCTTAGGCAATTTTGTCATTGGGCAAACATAACAGAGTACACTTATACAGCCTGATAGCTACTAGGTAGGTAGAGACACTGACTCATGGGATCACTGTTGGTAATGTTCAATCTACTGTTAACTGGAAAAGGTGGTGGTGCCAGGCGCGGTAGTACACACCTGTAATCCCATCGGTTCAGGAGGCTGGGACAGGATGATCAGGAGTTCAAAACCAGCCTCAGCAATTTAGCAAGGCCCTAAGCAGCTCAGTGAGACCCTGTCACTAAATAAAATATTAAAAAGGGCTGGGGGTGGCACCTAACTGTACGGCATGAGTCCGAACAGCTGACAGCTCCCCAGAATGGTCACCACAACATCCATCAGCAGATGGTATCTGCAGAGAAGCAGGCAGTGAAGTATGTCGAGAGAAGCAGCCAGTGGTACCACAGAAGGCAGGAGCCAGAGGAAGAAAAATGTGGACTCACCTCTACCCCATAGAGGACAGAGAAGGAGACGGCCTTCTCGCAGCAAGCCAGCCTCTCAGCAGAGCCCCTTTTGATCCTGGGAGGGAGGGAAGTGAGGAAAGACAGCACCACTTCACAGCTGGACAAGGGGAGGAAAGTGGCACAGAAAACCAGGGTGCAGGGGTGCGATTCCCATTCCCAGTGGGTGGAGGTGAGTTCAGCCCAGCAACCTGGGATAGAGGCGTTGGCTCTCATATGCCCGTGGACCTCGGGCTCTTTTTCAGCAGGACCCATGGATGTTGCCTCCTTCCCAGTCTCTGCTAACCCTAATCCCTGCCCAGACTCCTGGCGAACCCTGGGCAGAATCCCCAGGACCTCAAGCTTCTCTAGCGTCTCCCAAGCCTTCAGTCTCCTGTTGCTTCTGCCTAGCCTCACTGTCTGACTTCCTTTCAGACCACAATCTGGACTTGGCAGAGAAAGACTTCACGGTGAACACTGTGGCAGGCGCCATGAAGAGCTTCTTCTCAGAACTGCCAGACCCCCTGGTCCCCTACAATATGCAGATCGACTTGGTGGAGGCGCACAGTGAGTACTGCACCACGTGTGGCCCTGGGGCTAGGGCACGCAGACCCTGTGGGCAGACTGCAGGGAGCAGCGCTGTAGGGACGGTCCTGCCTTCAGAATGGACACTCTGGTTCTTGGAGCTGAGTTTTGAAGGACAGAAGGAAAGGAAAGATACCACTAGAGGGACCTCAGATTGGTCCCTTCCTCTGTAAACCATAGGTGCTCATGTGAGTGTTGTACCGAGAGCTGCAGATTCCCCCAAAACTGTTAAGTGCATGGTTTTGTTATTTGACTTGCACTGAATCCCTGCTCCTTTGCTTGTGGCCGACTTAACCCTACCTGTGCCTTAGTTTGGTCCTGCTGTTCCTGCCCCTATGGCTGGTGAAGTGAGTTGTGGAGATGCCTGGAGGCAAGGATGTGAAAAAAAGCCCTGTCTTGATTTCCTTTCCCCTTTGTTCCTCTTCTCCTGCCTCTCAGGTCACAAAGTTAAATGGTCTGGAGCCATACAGCCTCTTAGGAAGACCCTTTTAGAGGAAAAGGGTCACCTTCAGTGGCCCCGGCCAGAGCCTCACTTAGCACTGTAGCACACGAGCACCTGTGTTTTTGTTTGGTTGGTTGGCTTTGTGTTTCATGGTATGTGGGGATTGAACTCGGGGGTGCTCTACCACTGAGCTACACTCCCTAGCCCTTTATTTTTTGAGACGGAGTCTCATTGAGTTGTGAAGCCTGGACTTGAATTTTCTGTTTTTCTGCCTCAACCTCCTGAGTTTATGGGATTCCAGGCATGTGCCACTATGCCCAGAGCCCCTCTGGTTTTCATAGCAGCCTCTGGGTACCGTCTTGCCTGCCCTGTCATCTGTTGCTGCCTTGGCCTGCCTTTCTGCTGTGGAACTGTCTGTCCACAAGGTGGGGACTTCTCACCAGCCCACTTTGCCTGGGCTTTGTGCAGTGCCATGGAGGGGCCCTGACCTCAGAGCTTCCCACCACCTGGCACTTAACTCTCTTTTTTAGCCAAAGGCAACCTTCCTACTTTGCCCCTTCAGCAGACCAAGACCCAGAAGCAGCATTGCTGGGCAGCTGCAGAAGGTGCAGTATCTTTTCCAGCTGCCAGTGACAGGGTGGGAAGAAGAAAGGCACGCTTCTCAGGGTCTGGATATGAGTCTAATCTTGTCACTGCCCAAGGGACTTTTGAACAAGTTTACTCACAAGGCTGTGACATGAGCAGAAAGAACTCTTAGAGGTTATAGATAACGTAGCTCTGAGTCCTGTGTCCTGGACTCTTCTAAAGGAAGCAGGTACTGATCCAGGCACAGTGGCAAACTCCTGTAATCTCAATGACTCCAGAAGCTGAGGTCAGAGAATTGAAAGTTCAAGGCCAACTTCAGCAACTTAGCAAAACCCTGTCTCAAAAATAAAAAAAGGGCTGGGGAGGTAGCTCCGTGGTAAAGGGCCTCTGGGTTAAATCCCCAGTACAAAAAAAAAAAAAAAAACAGGTGCTAAGAAAGTCCCTTCCCAGCCTGCAGAGGCTGCTACGCTCTGCGGCCCTGTGCCACTTTTCCATGGCCTGCATTTCTCGTAGTGTTTGTTTCCACAGCCTGGGTGCCACATTGGCCTTGTTCTGCCCCCACTCCAGCCTCTGAGCAGTCACAGCTCCTAACTGTCTTGCAGCCCACCAGGGAGCAGGCAGCACATAGTTCTTGTGGGACTCTCAAAGGGTTGCCTGGTGAAGACAGGAGACAGGGTTTCTCAGGGAAGTTAGTCCTTCTCCAGCAGGTTCCTGGCTGGCCCAGGGGTGAAAGGTATAGGAAATCTCTCTCTGAGCTGGGCAAGGTGGCCATTCTAGTAATTTGGGAGGCTGAGGCTGAGGATTGCAAGTTTGAGGCCAACCTGGGCAACAGACAGATCCTGTTGCAAAAAATATATAATTAAAATAATTTTTTTTTTAAGAACTCTAGAGCCAGCTCTCCTTCAACCTAAGCTTATCTCTGAGCGGAAGTTAGAGGAGGAGCACACAGCCTTCTGGAAGCCAGGATTCCTCTCTGCTTTTGTCTTGACTTGGCGCCATCTAGAGGCGGATCAGATCCTGACACCCAACAGAATGCTATTGTTTCCTGGTGAACTGCTGGCATAGCATCTTCTTGTCTGGGGAGGGGCAGGAGAAGAGGGGGTTGATAGGGAATCACCGGCCCTTCCTAAGCACCTCCAGTGCTACTGCGGGGAGGAGGCTATTGCTGCTTCTGCAGCCGCCTGGAAAAGGGTGGAGGCTCGCAGCTTCCTCTCCCATTGTGTGTTTCCTGTGCCCCACACCAGTCAGCTGGTTCCTCCGTTGTCTTGAACCTGGAAGAAGGGTAGGGGAGGAGTGGATCCCTCTCGCAGCCAAAGCAATTGAGAGAAAGTGGGGCTGTGTATGTTGGTGGTAGTTGTTACTGAGCCAGAGGTATCAGGCAGAGCAAAAGTTAGTGTCAAGGAACAGTAAGGAACAAAATTGCCCTGCCCCAAAGTAGCTATTTCCAGACTGGCTGGGTTTCCATGGCAACATCAACTTGACCAGCTCTTTCCACTTAATGCCTCAGAGCAGCTGTGCCTGTGTTCAGGCGTGGACCTGGTTTCAGATCTCATCACAACAGAGATCAGGGTCACTGTACAATTGGTCTGTTAATGCCAGAACTTTTGAACATTGCTGAAAATGTGCCCACAAAGTGCAGATTTTTGTGATTATTCACCAGTTATCTTCTACCATGGTCAAGGTGATATGTGGGAGATTTAGAAATGAACTTCAGCCAGAGCTCACGCAAGATGCTGTGTGCTTGCGGTATGCCTGACCTGGCTGCCAGGCCTGATAGCCCTTAGCATTTGAGGCAGATGGTATTATATCTCCCATTTCACAGAGGAGGACACTAAGGCTATCAGAGGTGATGCTCCTTGGCTTAAGGCTCAGAGTCATACTGCTACTGACTGGCAGGCTCTTTAATCCATGCCCTCCCTGGAGACCCACTGAAGGTCCCTACAGACAGAACGAATCAAGCTGAGCTCGATAGAGTACGACGAACACTGTGCGGGGGGCGGCCACACGGCAGAGGTGTCTTCTGAACTGTGGTTTCAGGTAGGAACAGGATTCCAGGAGGCAGAGAAGGCAGCTTTATATTGCCATCTCTTGTCCTCCCATGTGTCACCTGCCCAAGAACATAGGTGTTCTCAGTCTTGTCCTTTTCTCCTCACAACACCCCCTCCTCATTCAGGCTCCCTCCAGTCCATCCAGTCCAAGTAAACCTTGTATTAGGGCATTTGTGTTGGCAGGGGTCCTAGAGCTGACTCCATCTCAGGCCAGAGTGTCTGAGCTGAGGACCTGCAGTTCCAAGGTCCTCAGCCCTCAAAACGTGCTCATAAAATCAGTCTGTCTCAGTCTAGGAGGAAGGTCAGTAGCTTTCATCAGATTGTCAAAGGGAAGTGGCTCAGAGTACTGGCTTATTATGTTTACCCTTCCTATTTGACAGGTGAGGCAAGAGATAACAAACCACTCACTGTCAAGGTCACAAGCAGACAGGTCCTGCCACCTTTGGGGCTCCCGTTCCTGTACTGCCTTGTGACATTGCTGATTCTGGGACCTTACCTTTCTCTTGTCTCTCCAGATAGATGCTTAGGGGCATGGTGCTCCTCACTGCCGAGCAGAGGCTGATTAATTTCACAGATACACATATGCACCAGGCTGGGTATGGACAGGGACAGATGGCAGTGGACAGACATTATGTAGTCCCTGCCTCAGTGGGGAGGGGCAGGAGACACTGAACAGCATGTCATAAGATCATGCCCACAGGACAGCCTGGCCCTGGGGTCTACCACCTGGCAGAAGGGGAGTTGCACACCTCCTGTGTTTTATGTATCACTAGGCCTATGACCTTGATCCAGGCAGGCCTTTTCCTTTTCTTCTGATGCAAGTGTACAAGGTGGTCTGAGACTATCAGCTCCAGATACTGAGTCAGCAGGAACAGATCTAAGCTTACAGCTCAATTGGTGACCAGGGTGCCAAACATAGCAAGCAGCCAAGCAGGGACATTGAGATTGGATCCATGCCACCAATTTAGAGACGTTGCCAGTTTTGTATCATCTTGAGAGCTGGTTTCTCTTTATTGTGAGAGATGTCTCTAAGGTCCCTGGTGGCCTCTCCTGTCCTTTGTTCTTCCTCATGAGTTCTTGGAGTCTCAGCTACTTTCAGTTGCCTACTCTATGCCCCAGACTTGTCTTGGCTCAGCCGACCCCACAGTGAGCTTTCTTGCTGTCTACAAGAGGCCTGCTCATGTGGGGCCCCCATCACTTTCCTTTTTGATGGAATTAATGACAGCAGAGGCATGACAGGGAACCCAGAACAGATGGCTGACCTGGGAGAGGAGCCTGGTACAATGCTCAGCTGCCCTGGCACCAATGTTGTGGCTTTTATGACCACTTGGGCAGTCTTCTGGTCCACCACGGGTGTAGCCCAGCTTCACCTTCCACTGAGGCATTGATGAGTGCTGCAGGGAGAGCTGCTGGGAATTCTGCAGCAAGTTCCCGTACTGTCCCAACCGAGAGGCCACTGGTGTCTTTTCTATGTGAAGAGGCTGCTGGTCTGAGCCTGCAGTGATCCCACTCCCTGAGAGCCTCTGCCAGGGTCTTGCCATGCAGCTGGTGGGAGGGGAAAGGACACGCAGGCTAGTAACTATCAGGGCCCTTCTCAGGTTCCTGGCTGAAGTGCTGCTGAGGGGGCTGGGTTTCCATCACCACCATCACAGGTCACCGGAGTTATCAGAGCAGGCTCCATAATCGCCCCAAGGAAGAAAGAAGGGAAACACCCATCCTTGCTGCTCCCTGGGGAGGAAGGACAGGGGGCATCCACATGGTGGCCTGGCCAGCCCCACTTCCTGACTCAGCTCTTCTGTGAAGGTGCCGTAAGTGCTTGATTAAAACAAACACAGCTGTGTTTGTGTCGTGCAGGCACCTACAGAGAGACCTGTGCGCACTAGCATCTGGAAGGGGCGTGATTATTTTATCAAATGAAACCTGGAGTTGTGCACGTGCTTCCTCTGTCCCTGCAGTCTCCATCCCCCTGCGGTTGTTTGTTTGTTTGTTTGTTTTTTACAGGCTTTATTGAAACATAACAGTAAAGAATTTTAAATCTCAGTCTGTAGAGTGTGCCATTGAGGTGGGAACCTTCAGATAAATGTTACAGAGAAACGAAGCCTCACCAGCCAAGGTGGAGCAGGCCCCTTCAGGGAGGAGAGCCAGGACACCAGGGAGCCCCGTGGTCACAGCTCAGACTCTGCAGCCAGTTGGTCAGGCTTTGATTCCCTGTCTTGTAAGCTCTCTGGGCTCCCGGTTCCTCATCTTGAAATGGGGCAGAACAGTGCCCTCCTCAGGGTTGTGGGGCCAACTGCACCAGGCCTGAAGTGAACTCTGCGCTTCTTCTAGGGCTGCTTGTTTTTCCTGTCCAGGACGTGAGGGCTCCACAATGGGCAGAGTGTGGTGGCAGTGGGGGAGGAGGGTACAGAGTCGCTCTGAGCTGCATGAAGCTCCCCACTGCTGCCATCCGCTCCTCCAGCAGGGCAGTGGATAGAGGCATTCTGTGTCTCCAGGGAGGACAGAGACCTGGTCTTGTGACGGATTCCCTTCGTAGACAGCCTGTTGGCGTGGGTGGGTCGCAGCGCTCGTCTGGTCAGGAAGCGAGCAGCCTTTCTGCATCAGGGTGCCTGTCTCCAAGGGCAACCAGAGGAGCAAAAGAATGGTGTTCTTTATGGTAGAGTCTCTGGATGATTGCTTCTTGGGTGGTGGGGGCCAGGAAGCCCCAGGCACATAATACTGCCCTTCAGCAGGGGGCTGGGACACAGGTGGGCCTGGCCCTGGGGCTCAGGCAGGCCTTGTGACAGCCCCAGGTGCCCTCAGAGAAGGCCCGCTGCACAGTGTGCCCTGATGTGCCGCCAGCCCACAACTTCCATCACTTCCCCAGCTCTGCCTTGGGCCACTGAACACCCCCACCAGCCTTGGCCATGAAAGTCTTTGATTTTATTTCCTCAGAGATCAACGACCGGGAGCAGAAATTACATGCCCTTAAGGAGGTATTAAAGAAATTCCCAAAGGAAAACCATGAAGTCTTCAAATACGTCATCTCTCACCTAAACAAGTAGGTTGCAGGACTTTCTGGCTGTTTTTTTTTCTCCCTCTGAAAAATTGACAGCCACCTAGGCCCCGTGGCACACACCTGTCACACCAGTGGAAGGCTGAGGTAGGAGAATAGATAGCAAGTTCTAGGCCAGCCCTGTCTCAAAAAATAAACAGCCAGGTGCATGCCTGTAATCCTAGCAGCTCCGGAGATTGGGCAGGAGGATTGTGAGTTCAGAGTCAGCCCAGCAACTTAGCAAGACCCTAAGCAGCTCAGTGAGACCCTATATCTAGATAAAATATGAAAAAGGGCTGGGGATGTGGCTCAGTGGTTAAGTGCCTCTGGGTTTCTATTCCTGGTACCAAAAAAAAAAAAAAAAAAAAAAGTGGGGAGATGGACAGCCAGGTTAGTTAACAGTAGAACAAGGCCTACATCCTCATCCTGGCTGAAAGGTCGGGCCCCAGCCTGCCATGCTGCTATTTAGCTTCCCCCACAGGAATAGCTGACTCTGTCCAGGAGAAGCCCACATGGCCCCAGCTGGTGGGAGGGGAAGGGCCTTAATAGTCACTGGCCTGAGTGTCCTTTCCCCTCCCACCAGGTGCACGGCATGTGGGCTTCTCCTGGACAGAGTCGGGCCCCACACCAGACTGTGCCCTTGGCTTTGATGGACTTGAGGGCATCCACCTCCTCTTAACTAGCAGGAGGGAAGGTTCTCTGGTGCACACTGGTACCCCGAGAGATCTGCCCCTAGAAACCTCCCAGAGTCCATCTCCAGCTTCCGAATTTCCCAGCTGGTATGTGACAGGACGCTGTGCAGAAGGGCTGTGCCACAAGAAGAGCAGACCCCAGTGGAGGGAGTGTGGCCACTGCAGTCAGGAAGGCTGTCTAACTGTCCCCAGATGCATTCACATACAAGAATAGGCTTGTTGGTATGTTATGGAGCTCTGGCTTGGGACCACAGAGATCTCTCTGCACAGCCAGAGCACCATCACCCACTTGGTTGTCTGGTGAGTCGGTCCCTGAGGGTTCCATCCACCCCCCAGGGTTTGGAAGGTGCCTGTGGGCCAGGGCTTTCACTCTTCCTCGCCTGTGGCAGCCTTGCATGCTCGCCACAGGAGCCCCTGGAGCAAGAGGAGCAGGCACGGAAAGCCAAGGCAGTCCCAGGTTCTCAGTGGTTGGGCCCAGTGACAGTGGGTCACTCTGACTGTGGAGCTCTGACTGTGGGTTTGGTGTCACCTGCAGAGTCAGCCACAACAACAAGGTGAACCTCATGACCAGCGAGAACCTCTCCATCTGCTTCTGGCCCACCTTGATGAGGCCCGACTTCAGCACCATGGACGCGCTCACGGCCACGCGCACCTACCAGACAATCATCGAGCTCTTCATCCAGCAGTGCCCCTTCTTCTTCTACAACCGCCCCATCAGCGAGCCCCCAGGTGCCGTGCCCAGCTCCCCCTCGGCTGTGGCTGCCACCGTCCCCTTCCTCACCTCCACGCCTGTCACCAGTCAGCCGTCACCCCCCCAGTCACCACCACCCACCCCACAGTCCCCCATGCAGCCACTGCTCCCCTCCCAGCTTCAAGCCGAACACACGTTGTGAGCCATCAGGGCCTGGGGCAACGGGGAACTGGTCTTCTCTTAAACAGCGTGGCACTCAGCCTTGAACACAACCACAGCTTCTGGGGCAGGGGCCAAAGCCAAGTGCCCCTCTTCCCTGTCAGTTCTCAAGACCTCAGCGCGGGGACCAGCTCGTGTCCTCCACAAGCTAGGCTGTCAGGCACCCAAGCCCAGCAGCAGCAGTGGGGCCCTGCCCTTCGACTCGGACCACTTTAATGACTGACCTAGTCAGGCAGCAGCCCCAAGTGCTCTTCCGCTGCTCCCTGGACCACCTCGCCCAGCTGTGCACACCAGCCTCAGGGTGTCTCCCTGCTTGTGCAGACCCCAGTACTGGGCCAGAACCCTGGCCTCTGCCAGAGGAGGACATTCTGAATGCAGGCCTGCCCCGGGCAGGGCTGGCACCCCTTTTGTCTCTTCCCACCTTCATTGTCTGCCCACACATACCTGCCCTGGGGGTCCTCAGGAACATGTAGGTCTCAGTTCTGCCAACCCAAGGTACATATGGGGGCGTCTGCCCAGCTGATGAGAACCAGGGGAGGATAGCTTTGTGCCTGGACCGAAGAGAGTGTGACTTCTCCATCCCAGATCCCCGCTTCACAGGCTTCTGGACACACCTGTAGGAACACTGGAAGAGGGTGAAGGCTCCGCCCACGAGTCAACCGCAGGAGGAAGAAACCGCAGACCTCGAGATTCCACCGTCTTCCACCTCTGCGGGCAGGTGGACAGATGGAGGTGGCCCCGAAGGCTCAGAGCAAAATAAGGATGTCCGGAGCAGAGGCCTGTGAGCCTTTTGGGTCCCACTTAGGTCCTTTCAGCAAATCCCCTCTCCCCAAGATGGTTGCAGCCCCTGGTGGGAGAGCTGCAGGTGGGACCAGCCTGGCCCCGCTGCCAACACACTACACTGCTAAGGAAACACTACTTGTGCACATGGGGTGAGGTGGGCACCTGGGGCCTGGGTTGGTGCGTTTGGTGTTAAAGTGGAATGACACCAGCAGGCGTGTCTGGGATGTGGGCAGGCAGGGTTGTCTGCTGGGGCCCTCACAGGAGCACACAGCTCAAGACACAGGCATTTTGCCTTCCTGTCATCACCACCCTGGCCCTGCCAGGTCTTTCCACCCGCCCCAAGAGCCATTTCCACCCCCTACCTCTACTGGAAGGGCCACTACCCTATCCCCCAAGTTTTCATTTTCATGGTGGCATCACGGCCTCCGCAGCCCTGGGTGTAGGGGAGGGGCAGAGAGGCTCCTCACTTGTCATTGCACTTTAGAAACAGCTTTTGCATGGTAGGTTCCCAGGGCCTCCCCATCACAGGGCACCGCACCGCACCGCACTGCAGGAGAGGCCTCCAGGTGAGCAGTGCTGCCACCTGCTGGTAGAGGCGGGCACTGTGCCCACTAGGTCCTTTGGGTAAACCAGCTGTCGAGTTCTTGATGGCAAAATAAGGTGCTTAGAAACACTAAATTACCCCCAAGAGTTTTGTGACTTTACTTTTTTTTTTTTTTTTTTTTTTACAGTGCTGGGGGTTAACCCAGGGCCTTTTGTCAGGCCACTGAGCTACACCCCAGCCCATTATATTACCTAAGAACATAAAACCAAACCCAAGGTACAGACGCGTTGTGTGTGGGTGCTGGGTGCTGGTTTCCTCCCCTCTAGTGGGTCTGTAACACCTGGAGCTGTAGGTCTGGGTGGCTGGAGGGGTAGTGCTGCTGGATTCGGTTGAGGCTGGTGGTCTGTCCTCTAGCCCTCCAGTCCCCACAGCCCTGAGCCATAGGCAGATGGGGAAGAGGCTTCATTTACCCCTCTACTTTATCTACATCTTGCTCTCCCAGTTGGCTTTTCAAGGAGTTGGGGCTGCAGGGAAACCATGTTGGTGGAGTCCCTTGTTTGTACCAAGGGTAAAGGCAACCAATTCCCACACTGGCCAGCCGTTTCCACAAGTTCTGCTGCTATGCTCTGTGGGGACAGGAGGGTGGCTGTGGGAGGCGCTGCCTTGCACCCTAACCCTTGCACAAGTACCAGAAGCCAGGCTGGGGCCTCCTGCCCACTGCCCCCAGGGCACCGGAGTTGGGCAGTGGGCACTGACGCCCGGGTCCCAGGAGAGCCTGAGCGTGCAGGGAGCTACAGGTTCCCCTTGCCCTGACTCCTCAGCCTTCAAGTCCTGCTTCCCAGGACCCAGGGGATCAAGGACACTTCGTCGGGCATGGCAGGGGTGGCAGTCAGGACAGCAATCAGATCTGAAAGGGAGAGCACCTAGGGCTTCACTAGGACACGCTGGCCTTGCACAGAACCCTGCCACCCTTCCCCTGTCCAGGACCGTCAGCTCTAGAACGTTCTCGCCTGGTCCCTGGGTGGGCTGCACATCATTCGGATCCGGGTGGCAGCCAGTGCTCTTGCCCAAAGCAGGAGAGCAGGCCAGCTGCCGCCCCTGGCTGTTCTTGGTGGGCATAGCCTGATGGCACCGCTCGGCAGTACCCCAGGGTTGCCCTGCACAGAGACCCAGGCAGGCTGCAGGCCTGGGAACATTGGAACTCCTGACTTGTGTCACTGTTGGGCGTCTGCACACGCTCTGCATCGCCTGCCCTTCCCATCCCTCAACATTTTAAGGAGGAGTGTGAAGGGAGCCTGCCCCTCCCCCTTGGTTTTCCCTGCTTATGAGGCTTCTGGCAGAATTTGCCTTTGCCACTGCATTTGAGGGTGACATCACTTGTAAGAGCAGCTTGCTGGCCGGAAGGTTTTGGGACAGAGCCCTCCCTCCCCAGACTAGGCTTCAGCCCCTTGTCTGTGGGACTGGGTTCCGTGGAAGCCAGTGTCCCCTTGATAGATGGTCCTAGGCCACTAGGCACCCTGGCCTCAACTCCAAATATGGCAGTGGGCTGGCTAGCTGCAGCATATTGTCACCAAATGTGATTTTTGCTTGTGCTGCTTCCTGTCCTGTGAGCAGAAGGCTTACTGTGCAGGTGGGGGGCCAGGTCTGCTCCCCAAAAGAGTAGACCTGCTTGGGGCTGCGGGCTGTGCAGATCATGTGGCAGGGGAAGCAGGAGCAGCGCTCCTCGCCAGGCGGGCTTGACCGCGCGTCTGCACCTAGGGAGAAGGTGACCTCGTCACTCGAGGACCCTGGGGATGGGTGCGGGGCGGCCCCAACACCTGGCAGCCTGTTTCCCTGTGCCCCTCCTGACAGCAGCGATGCCACTTGCTATCCATGTAGTTGAGACAGGGCGTAAGTTATTGTTTGCATTTAAAAAAAAATCATGTTCCCTGTGTACATTTTTTTTAAAAAAAAGGAAATGTCTTGGAAATGTATGGGAATAAAACTGTTTGAAAAATTTGGAATAGTGCTGCTGCCGGCTTATTTTTCTGGTACTTGTATTTTCACATGTTAAATGACCTTTATATATGTTGAATTAACAAATATTTTGAGTTTCCTGAGAAAAACAAACATTAATGGTATTGAAATGTGTTAGTAGTCTGGCCGTGTGCCCAAAATTCTGTTTTGCAGCAAAGTGGAAACTGTATGTAAAGAAAGTATAACAATTATTTCTCGTATTTTAGGGGCTTTAACCAGGACCGCTCTAGTTGGTGTTAGGAGTGTTGCTTAATTTCCAGGCTTTTCTTTTAACAGTCGTGGGGTGTGAGGCTCCAGCCTGATTAGTGCATGGCCAGCCCTCAACAAGGCTGAGGCATCTCTGACCGAGGTGTTTTTGTTTGGTTTTGTTTTTTAAAATCATGTATTTGCTACAAAGTATTGTACTTGTCTCAATGGGAATGGTGTAAAGAACTGAAAGGCCTTATGTGATATGTATCATAGTTAATAAATCAATCTTGTAAAAAACCAAACCTGAGAGCATGAAGGGCGCCCCCAGCCCAGGGGTGGGCTGCAGCCTGGGGTCCTGCGAGTGCGTGCGGCCCTCTCTCCCACCTCCATGGCCTTTGTCGCCTGCGCAGCTTCCCACTGTCACTGTCCGTCACGCCCCAGTCTGGGGCACTGGGAGGCAGAGGTCAGGAGGGTCCCGGGGAAGGGAGCGGGAACCGGCCAGGGGCCCAGCCTCTCCTCTTACCAGAGCAGGTTGCCTGTCCTTGCAGTCCGACATTGTCACCACCAGATCAAGGACAATGCCTTCAGTGGTGGTGGTTGGCTGCCTCCCAAAGAAACCTCTGCACCAAACAAACCACCTCTGCCCGCGGGCTTGAGGGGCCCACTCAGTCCCGCTCCCCCCTACCCTCGCCCACCACCCAAGCAGGCCTTGGCCTCAGCCCTGCCAGTCCCTGTGCTCCATCCCAGCGCAGACCCCGCCCAGGCTCACCTAGACGACTCCTCTCACTGCCCTCCCTGTCCTTGACCTTGCCTTTTGCCCTAACCTGGGGCAGGAACTTCACACAGGTGCCTTCCCCACAGCCACCCCAGCCCAAGTCCGTTGGAGACATGACCCTGTGGGTTGACCCAGTGCACCCCCCTCTGCAGGCAGCCACTGCCAGCAGCAGCAGCGGGCACAGGAGATAGTGCCGCCTGCTCTGGGCTTCTCAGCTGGGCAGTCGGACAAATAAATAGAGCTGCTTATTTACTGGACCCTGCACTTTGCTATCCACGCGGGACTGCGCCCCACTCAGCCTGCTCTTCCCCGCTTCCATCCAACTCCTCAGAGTCACCCCGAGGGCAGGTGGCTGCAGTGCCCTCTGTCCACCCTCAGCTCTCCCCAGGTTCCCGCCTGCCTCCAAAGCCAGCCTTCCTCTAGAAATTCTCCCTCGGCCCCTTTCCTACGTGGGTCTGCCCAGCATCTCTCACCTACCACAGGCCTCTCTGGAAGCCAAGAATGCTTCAGCACTCGTTCTTTCTTTAAAATATTAGTAATAATAGTAATATTTTTTAGTTATAGGTGGGCATGATTTCATTATTTTATTGCTTTATTTTTATATGGTGCTAAGGATCGAACCCAGTGCCTGACGCATGCCAGGTGAGCGCTCTACCACTGAGCCCGAGCCCCAGCCCAAAAACCCCTCTCACAGGGCCCTCTCACAGCTGGTCTCAGTCCTGGTGCTCTTGATGTTCCTCTTGTGTACTTTCGTCCTTGTGTCTCTCAGCCACTGTCCACCCAGGTGGAGAGCCTCCGGGGCAGCTTCTGTGGTTCTCCCAGATGCCCGTCCAGGATGGCCACCAGCTGCTTCTGCTCAGCTTGCAGAATGCAGCCGGCCCACCCTGACCTTGACCTGGGAGCCAGTGTCTCAGCCAGTCTCTGCTCAAGCACCTCACTCGTGTCCACCTGCCTGCGATGCTCCCCTCGAGGATCTTAGTGTGACACACACCCAAGCCAAACCCCTTACATCTCCTCCAAATCTGTGTGTCCCCGGGACATTTCACAAGCCAGCGACCCCAAGGTGTCCTGCTCCCTTTGCTGTCAACCTGGTACAGCTCCCAGGTTCAATTCCCTCCCGGTTCCCTGCCACCCATGTCACCAGGACATCCTTCCTGCCTCCTCCCAGCCTCCAGTCTCAGCCTTTCCAGGTGGCAGCTAAAGAAGCTTTTCAAAACTTGAATCAGGCCACGTCACTCCCTCAGCACCCTCCAGGGCTCCCCAGTGCCCTTGGAGGAAGCCCAGATTCTTCAGCAGGCCATGAGGCCTCCTGCCAACCTCTTGGGAGCCTTCCTCCTTTGGTACCCTCCGGTCCAGCCAGGGTCCACCCACTCAAGCCATTCCCTTCCCCCTTCACCCCACCTTATATGGAATTATTTATATATATATATATATATATATATATATATATATTTAATTTATTTATTTACTTATTTTTTGTGTGTGTGTGATGTGATTGAATCCAGGGACTGTGCATGCAAGGCAGGCACTTTGAGCTATATCCCCAGCCCCTATATAAATTATTTATTACACACACATTTCCCTCTTTAGCTTCATGGACAGCAAAGGCTCTTCTTGACTCTCAAACCAACATAGATTCCTTTGCTTTCATAGAAAAAGTTCTCTAAGAGCCAGGCACAGTGGTGCATGCCTGTAATCCCAGCTGCTCCGGAGGCTAAGGCAGGAGGATCATGAGTTCAAAGCCAGCCCCAGCAACCTAGCAAGGCCCTAAGCAACTCAGTGAGACTCTTGTCTCTACATAAAATATAAAAAAGGGCTGGGATGTGGCTCAGTGGCAGAGTGCTTGCTTAGCACGTGTGAGGCACTGGGTTCAGTCCTTAGCAAGGATAAAAATAAATAATGTCATGCTGTCCATCAACAACTACAAAAAGAAATTAAAAATAAAAAAGATTGGGGATATGGCTCAGTGGTTAAGTTGCTCCTTCAGATTGTAGCCCCCCCCCTCTTTTTTTAACTTTTTTTTGGTGTGTGTGTGTGTGTGTGTGTGTGTGTGTGTGGACTGGGGGTTGAACCCAGGGCCTTGTGCATACGAGACAAGCACTCTACCAACTGAGCTAGATCCCGGTGCCCCCCACCCCCATTTAACATAGATTTCCTGAGCATCTGCTCTCTGTCAGGCCCCAGAAGACACAGCCATGAACACAACAAAGATTCCTGCGTGGACCTGAGACCCTAATGAGAGACACCCATTAGCAAGCAGAATGCGCTGTGGAGACAGGAGCCTTGGGGAGCAGGGGCAGGAAGGCCAGGGAGGCACCACCCCAGGTACAGCACCTACAGGAAACAGCAGTCAGCATCAAAACGCTTCAGCATTTTTATTCGGTATGATTCTGAAAAATCAAACTAGCTATAAACCTAAAACTACTCTTAAGAAAAACTTTTTAAATTAAAGCAGAGCTGGGCACAGTAGTACACACCTGTCATCCCAAGAAATTCTGAGGCTGAGACAGGACGATACCAAGTTCAAGGCCAGCATGGGCAAATTATCAAGACCCTGACAGAAGATAAAAAAATAAAAGGGCTGGGGGGCGGTGCTGGGGTCCTGGCTCAGCAGTAGAGCCCGCCTAGCACATGTGAGGCTCTGGGTTCCATCCTCAGCACCACATAAAAATAAAGAAGGTTATAACACCGGCCCCAGCCCTTTAATTTTTTAAATATTTTTACCACTTAAAAATATTAAAAAATAAATAGGTAAAATAAAAGGGCTGGTATGTGACTCAGTGGTTAAGTGCCTCTGGGTTCAATCCCAGCACCAAAAAAGAAAAAAAAAAATGTGACAATTAACAATGTGAAGGTTGGAACCTACAGGAATCTGGGGCAAAAGGAGGAATATGGAAGTTTGATCCTGGGATCCAGGAGCTCAGTTAGGAGGTGACGATGGATCAGACCAGAGCAAGACAGAAAGAGGAGAGGAGAGGTGGGGTTCTGGGTCTCCTGGGGTCCAGAAGATAGACTGTTAAAAACCGAGACTGTGAGAGACGCCTCCCAGGGGCTCCAGAGACACACCAGCTCCTGCATTCCTCCCCGTGGCCACCAGGGGTCAGCAGAGCGCCGCCTTGCCCAGCAGCCCCGTGGGGCGGCCAGTGCTAGAGGCTGGTGGAGGCTTTTCTCATGAAGATTGTTAAGATTAGGAGCCTTGGAGACTGGGGAGGAGACAGGTTGTGAGGACCGGTGGTTGGAACTGAAGTGTCCTAGGAGCTGGCCAAGACCAGAGAATGACCTCCGAATCCTGTCATTTCATGCATTCATCCAGCCAGCCACCCGTTTACTGTCATGCAGTCACAGGAGGTCAGAGGCCAGGCCACACAGGGCCTTGCAGGGCAAGATAATAAGCTTAAAGCTCGTCCGTCCGTGGATGTGGCTTGAGCAAGGGAGAGACTTAACCAGGCTTAGAGGAGCTGAGAGGAGGTGCAGTAAAGAAGGGACTGGAGAGACAGGCCTGCCCAGGCCAGCCTGCTAGTGAGGACAAACACCAGCGATGAAATAATATTACAAAACCCACAGTTAGCGCACTTACAAGTGCCTGTCTTCACCCTTTCATCTGTCAGCTCACATAGTTCTGCGACATGGGCCTAACATTATCCCCATTTAGTGGATGGAGAAACTGCACAGAGGGGGCAAGTGACTCGTTCAACACAAACTAGGGGACCCAGGTTGGCTCCCACTCGTCTGACCCCCAAACCGGATGGCATGTCCAGCTCCCCTGGAGGCCCCAAGAACAGGAATCAGCTCTAGGAAGCTGGATTCAATGTCCCCGCCCAGCCTGCGCCTGCCCACCCCTGTCCCTTCACCACACTTGGGTCTGGTTGCCCGCCCCGACTTCCCTCCCCCACCCTTACTAGGGATTGAACCCAGCACCCTCCACCACCGCGCCATCCCCAGCCCTTTTTTTTTTAATTTTTTATTTTGAGACAAAGTCTTACTAAGTTTCTAAGGCGAGATCCTCCTGCCTCAGCCTCCCAGGTCGCTGAGATCACAGGTGTGCGCCATACGTGGCTCCAGCAGTTCTGCCTTTGAAATAGCCACAGAATCTGAGCAATTTGTCTCCTGGTGGCGGTCCCCACCACCTCCCCCATGTGCTCTTCCTGTCACCCCCTCAGCTGGGATTTTGCTCTCACTCCCCGCCAGCCACCCAGTATGACATGCAGTTCCTTTTCTGTCCTGCAGCTGAGGTTGTCTCCAGACATGGAAATTAAGCCATTATGTGTGTAATCCCAGTGACTCGGGAGGCTGAGTCAGGAGGATGGCAAGTTTGAGGCCAGCCTCAGCAACTTAGTGAGACTCTGTCTCAAAATTTAAAAAAATAAAAATAAAAAGGCTGGGAACGTGGCTCAGTGGAAAAGCGCCTCTGGGTCCAATCCCCAGACTACAGGGGGGAAAAAAGAGAAAATTAAATCAGGCTCTTCCTCAACCTAAGAACTTCCAATGGCTTTTTTTTTTTTTTTTTTTGGTGCTGGGGATTGGACCCAGGACCTTGTGCATGAGGCAAGCCCTCTACCAGCTGAGCCATGTCCCCAGGCTTCCTATGGCTTCTTCTATGGGCCCAAGCCAAAATAAACCCATCTCCAGAGACTCCCCCGCCATGCAGCAAAGTGTGTCGCCCCCCCCTTCTGTCCTTCCACCTCAAAGCCTTCCCAGAGATTCCCCACATACCCTTCTGCCCCACGTTTCCCAACAAGTCAGCCCCAGACCAGAAGGCTCCCCCGACACCAGCAGGCTCTTCTCTGCTGAGCTGTCTCCTCCCAGCACACCACGTTGCACGGGCTGGCCTCAAACTCCTGGACTCCAGCAATCCTCCCACCTCAGCCTCCCAAGTATTTGGCACCAGGTGCCATCTTGACTTTTTAAAAAGGACCCATTTAGGGCTGGGGGACATCTAGGGCTCAGTGGTAAAATGATCCTGGGTTCAATTCCCAGCACCAAATAAAATAAAGGACTTATTTTCCCAAAATCCTCGCCAAACCTGGATTGCAAAATTTTGGGGGGAGTGAGGATTGAACCCAGGGCACTTAGCCACTGAGCCCCAGCCCCAGCCCAGCCCTTTTTATTTTTTGAGACAGGGTCACACTGAATTGCTGAGGCTGGCCTTGAACTTGCAATCTTCAGCCTCTGGGCCCTCTGGGGCCGCAGGCCTGCACCGGCACCTGTGTTCTGTTTTTGTGTGTGTGGTGGGTTCTAGCACATTTGTGAGTCATGCAACTGAAACCATGGTCGATTTCACAATATTTCCACCCAAAAGCAGCTCTGTCCCCACAGGCGGCCACTCCTGTCCCCTCTGCCTTGCTTTCCTAGAGCTGCCTTGACAAAAAATCAGGACTTGGCGGCCCCCCAGCTTGATCACCTCTGTGAACCCTGTCCCAAATAGTCACATTCCGAGGTCCTGGGGCTGAAGATGGCCACATGGGGTTGGGGGGAGTTTCATTCATCCCCTAGGCCCCCCCATTCCTGTTATTCCAACTAAACTACAGGAACAACGGCCGGGCACAGTGGCCACGCTGTAATCCCAGTGGCTCAGGAGGCTGAGGCAGGAGGAACACAAATTCAAAGGCAGCCTCAGCCACTTAGCGAGGCCCTGAGCCACTCAGCGAGACCCGGTCTCTAAATGAAATACAGAAAAGGGCTGGGCATGGGGCTCAGTGGTGAGCACCCCTGGGTTCAATTCCTGGTACCAAAATAAAAAAAAATACCATGCCTGTCTGTCTGCCTGGTGCAAACGATAACAACCATCATGAAGATTAAGTGGCACCTGGGCACCCTCCATCTGCACCCCACGCCCCAGCGTCCCCTGCCTCTGGCCTGGCACTCCACCCCGTCCTGGTCCTCAGGGGAATCATCTCTAGCTCTGGTTCTTCTTGACCCCCCAGATCCCATCCCTGAGCCGCGCACTGCGAATGCGCCCAGCTCAGCTGGCCCGGCGCTGACCCCACGCGCACCAGGCCGGGCCCCATCCCCGCGGCACCGCAAAGAAAAGCAGAGAGAAGCCAAAGAGAGCCCAGGGCAGCTGAGAGGAGGGGAGGCCGGGCTGCCGGGGACCGGCTGTCCCCACAGGCCCCTCTGCCCAGTCCAGCCCCCACTCTGCCTCCTGGTGCCGGCCCCTGCCTGCATCCCAGACACCAAAGGGTTATCTGGAGCCCTTCTGGAGGACTTCCTGGGTCCCAGCGTGGGGGCCTGGCTGACACTCCCTGGCCAGAAGTTGTCCTCCAAGCTGCCAAAGGACAAGGACACAGAGACCATGAACATCCAC